TGAGAGGCCTGAAAAGAGAGAGAGAGAGCGAGAGAGAGAGGGCACTCCGAGAATCCGAGCGAGAGCCCCTGGCAGACCAAAAGCCCTTCTTTTCAGTCAACCTTCATTTTTATACTGGGCATGATGCTATGTGATATGGAATACTCCATTGGCCACTTTAGCCCTCAATTCTAAGTCTTAAGTTCAAATCATGAGGGGAGTTGTGGCCCCTTTGTCCCGGCCATGCCCCCCCAGCCTGTTGTGCTCCTGCACACTGGCAAAAACACGGGAAGCTGGAAGTTCCCTGATGTCCCAGCACCAACTAACCATCAGTGCACTATCGACATTCTGCTCATAACAGATCCCAGACTAAACCCAAAACACGGAGCTCTTCTGGCTGCTCAAAAGAAGAACTAACTCTGTCCCAGCTGAAACCAGGACAATCTTATTTAAAGAGAAGGCTGGAGGGTACCTTCATGCCATTAGTGTTCAAGCGATCTGGGGTCTTTGGGAAATGGGGCAGCGATGGACCCTCTCTGTCCTTGGGTTGCTGGTGCCCCAGAGAAGGGTCAAGGCCTAGCTATGCTCTCTCCATGTACAGCTGTCTCTACACCCACCCAAAGCAGCAGTCCATCAGATAAGCATACCCCCAAAGAAGAGGGTTAGCTCTCATTTGTACCTTCCCTGACAGCGCCGGGGGGCTGGTCCAGCCACCTTCCTCCCTTGGGTCTCCGCTCATTTCCTTCCTAGACAGTAGCCATGCAGGCAGGCAAGTCTATGTTGTCTTTTGTCCCCCACCCATCCAGCTGTGCCATGCTGGGAGAGCTGAGACGCCATAAAGACACCTGTTACGACGGCACTAGCTCCAGTTACCCTGACACAGGCCAAAGCCCTGGCTGAAAGTGAAAGCTGGTGCTGGGGTCAGACACTAGAGATGATGGGAGAGATCAGAGCATTTCCTTATCTCCTATTGCTGTTTGTAGATGGAGGGAATTTAAATGCATCTTCCATTGACATGGAAACAGAAGATGAAGCAGTAATTGAAGCTGAACCTGCTCGACCCAAGAGGAAGCTCATCGCCACCCTTCAGGTGATTGTTGGGGTAACAGATCTGGCCTCTTTCATCCCCAGCGCTTTGTCCATGTCCTCCTCACCTCCCTGCAGTGGAAGTTAGACTGGGATGAGAACCTACAGTGTGCGCTGGGCCCTCATTGTTGCTGGGCTTTGAAACAACTAGTGAGACCTTGGAGTCAAGCTGGGATGTGGGTGCACATCTGAGGGTGGACCTTGGGGGGGATAAGGGAAAACCATAACACCCTGCACTGACTAATACAGGAGTGAGGTAGGACCAGGTGAAATGGTTGAAGCAGGAAAAGGATGGTCTTTCTGACTCTCCTCCCCTTCAAGGTGGCAGAAAAAAGGCCCAAAATTACTTTCTACTTATTTCAGATCTACAACTCTGAGCTGGAAAATGAGTTTGATAATTTTGAAGACTGGCTGTGTGTTTTCCCCCTTCACCGTGGCAAAGCAAATGAGGATGAAGGTGGAAATGAGGATGAACATTTTGTGGGGAAGTACAAGGTGCTGTATCATCTGAATGACTTCTGTGCTGCATGTGGAAAAAAATCCGTAGGACAATATGTATTTCAGAGCATGCCGGCACCAGCAGAGCCTTGGAGAGTGCATGTGTGTGCAGGGTGATGTGAGGCCATGGCGTGGCGTGGCCAGGGTCCTGTTGGTGCTTGTTGAAGCAGTTGTGTACTGTGGTCCTTTGTTAGTTGATAAATGAACCTGGTTTAGATTTTTCAGCTCTTGCAAGGAGAAAGGATGAAGCATAAAGGACTCTTATTCTGGTTGGGGCCTCTGGGTTTGTTCAGTATGCAAATATGAATTAGTGAGCTTCACTGGTTTTAAAATTAGTAACACTCCTTTAAAAGAGGCATCATCCTCCCACCCAGGAGCTCTTGAAGACTGAAATATCTACTACAGGAGTTGATTTAAGAAGGTCCCTAAGGAACCTTGGGTGCCCCTGCCTTTGGCAGTCCAAAGTGCCTGGAAATGTTCAGATCTGGCTTTGGCATTGGTCTGACCGCCTGCAGCCTAACGTGTAAATGGGCTGCCTGGGCCATATGGACATGATGGTGCCTTTGGAAAGGACTGTCGCCATGGGCACAGGGTGTCTGTGGTCTGTGTGGAGCGACGGCTCTGATTTTCCAGTTGGCAGGTGAAGCTGGTCTTGGTGGCTCCAATCTCATCTAAGATATTCTCTTTTGTATATAGTTGTTACTTGCAATCTCTTTTCTGCAGGGCTCCTTCTATGTCTACCCCACTGAGAAAGCCGGCATGGAGCCCAAGGTCTCCCAGGGCGTTCCAAGGAACAGACCCATCAAGGTTCTTGTAAGAGTTTACATCGTTAAGGTAGGTCTCTGGTGGTGGTGGCAGTAATGCTTGGAGGTCTGTCCCTCCCTATGGACCTTCTACCATTCTCTGCTCAGTAAACATGAGCAGCGGCACTTGTGAAAAGCTCAGGGCTGGCTCGAAGGCTCTGCCAGCTCAGTGGAGGTCAGCTATATCTTGTCCGTGGGGATTCTTCCATGCTCTGTAGGTTCAGGAGCTGCTAAAAATCCAGATGGGCATTTCTCAGCTCCTCTCATCTGCCTTGAGACAGTGATCAAGTAGGTGGGATGACAGCTGGAGACATTGTGGCTTGTTGAGTGGGAATTTGCGTGGGATCAAGTGCCTGTTTCACTGCCGGGACAGCTGCTGGAGAGACCTGACCAGTGGGCTTGGGTGGTCTCAGGCCTGTGCAATGTTCCTTGTGCAGGTTGCTCTCTGCAGCTGGTGTATGACAGTACCTTTTGTGTATTCCAGGCTACGAACCTGTCTCCAGCAGACCCCAATGGCAAGGCAGACCCCTACGTGGTGGTGACTGTGGGGCAGCAGCAGAAGGACACAAAGGAGCGATACATCCCAAAACAGCTCAATCCTGTGTTTGGAGAGTATGCAGCAAATTTTCATCTAGCAGGTTGAATAGGAATAGTGCAAATGTGGGGCTCAGGCTGTGGCCCAACACGTGCGGTCTTCTGTACCTTTCTGCTGGAGAATCTTGTGCTGTGACACAAAGGTTCCAGGCACATCTCTTGCCTCCAGCTGACACAGGAGACACAGGTGTTTTGGGTTAGGAGGGGAGTGCTCCCAAGGGCTTAATATAACAAAACAGCAAGCCAAGCAGCAACAGAGCATTGGGGAGCTTTTTATCTAGCTCCAGGACTTCTATCCAAGGGTGTATGTTTCTGGAAAAGTAACTCTTTTATTTGAACATGCACACTGAAAACTGCACACGCTGATCTTATGGAGAACCAAACTCTATCAGACGTCTTTGAATTGTCAAATACAGTTCTTAAATGTGTAGGATGATCAAAGCAGAACAGTATTCCAGATGGGGTCTCAGGAGAGCAGAGCAGAGGAGCAGAATCCCCTCCCTCGACCTGCTGCCCACGCTGCTTTGGATGCAGCCCAGGACACGGTTGGCTTTCTGGGCTGCCAGCACATGGTGCCGGCTCATAGAATCATAGAATCATAGAATCGTTAGGGCTGGAAGGGACCTTCAAAGGTCAT